TATTAAAATATATTTGTATTAAAAAAGAAAACTGTGTGTATCAATCTTGTTGACAAATATCATAAATTGGATACATATTGGCATGTGTATTTTTAAACATTCCCACCATCGGGACCATCCATTCTCCTCCTCGAATGCATTTGAAGGTGTTTTCTGTTATTCAAGTCTTTACTTTGGGTTTTCCTCTTAATTTTCATCCTTCCCTCTTCATCTATATGTGCTGATGGTTTAGCATATCCCCCATGACATCGGTTCATTCAGTAGGAGGCTTGAGAATAATGGTCTTCAGTCGAACGCTGTTATCCCATTCACACTCATACACTTCCACCTGTCCAAGGTGCTGTAGTTCACACTCTTCTTCTTGTTCGGTTTGACTAATCCTGTTTCATTTTGATGGTGGTGGCTTATATCACTCGCCAAGTGGACGCTCCCTTTGAAGTAAACAGTCGATTTTCATAATTTTTTGGAAGCCACACAGTTTACATAAGTATTCTGGAGGGTCGTGTTCCAGGTGCTTTGTCCTCGTTGCTAATTGATTTTCCAGTCCTGATGCACTTTCTCTCAAGGAGTGACCTCTTGATCCTCCTAATTTTTGGTAGCTCTGCATCCAGTGGGTTACTCTTGCATGTGAATTTTTTTAATCTTTTATCACTTTCCAGTTAGTTACCTCTTGTTTTTGGTATCTGGTTCATCATCCACTTGCCCTGTCTGTCGTTAAGTTCAGTCAGGTTTCCATTAATTGTTTTACCATTCCATCAGTCTTCTTCCCCATAATTTTGTGCATCCATGTCACTCTGGTTCAGGCCTTACTGATTGATATTTCCTGGCCAGCACTACTTTGGCTTTCTCAGCTGTTTTGGCTCTATTTGCTTCTTTTGTTCTGGATCGATTTTTTTTAACCTACATTTTCATGGCTCATGTATTATTTTTCTTTTGATGTTTTCATTTCGTACCATCTTCCACATTTCTTTTCAGTGGGATCCAGATGACCTTCTCTGTCCAGTACATTTTGTGGGTTGCTTCATTGTTTTCAATGCTTATTTCCATTATATCCATTTCGCACGTTTCCTCCCCTTACTCCACTTCTTTATCTGTGATTATTTTCCCTTCCTCCCTTACCTATGGGTTTCGATTGACCTTTTATTCCTTGTCTCCTTCTTCCCATCATCACTTCCTGGTGTTTTTACTCCAATCATGCACCTCCCCTTTTCCTTACATGTCTACCCTGCCATCCATTGAAGGTACTTCATATTTTGAGCAATGGGTCTACATCTTATATGTTCATCTCCCATTCTCTGCTTTGGGTTGCTAATTCTTCCTTGTCGGGGTACCGTCATCAACATGTTGTCATCCTTCAATCTTTTATGACGCTATATACATACCTCTTCTTTTTCAGAGGCATGTCTCTCTTTTTCTTTCTTCATCCCACTCTGTGGCAAGTGGTGCCTGAACAGGTATTCTTTAACAGTTCAAATCTGCACTGTAATACCATGTTGGCTTATAAAAGAAAACTATCAACAAATTGTGAAAGAGAGGATGTGGCAGGAGGGGGCTGATTTTCTATTTGATAGCTCGGTAACCAAACAAAATTGAAGGCAATAAAAATTATGGTTTGTTTGAGCAACAAAGATTTTATAGATAGCATTTTACGTTTAATTTCATACATTTTTGAGGGATGATGGATAAAATAAGGATGATGACATGCTAAGAGAAAATGTGTCACGTGGGTCACACTAGTGGAAATTCAGGATTTTAAAAAAATATTTCCTTGTAAAATTAAGAACTGAAAACTTCTATATTATTATAATATGGATTATTAGCTAAGATTTTATGCTATTCTTATTGGAATAATCTAAACAAAAAGTAGTTGAATAAAGTTTTGAATGTAAGACATTAAAACATTGTGTCATGCGCAGTAAAGGGTACATGGGGTGATAGGGTTTAGTAAACATCTTTTTGATGTCGGGTTCCTTGATCAGTCAATAAATTTTTCACATTATCATATGCCCGTTTGTTGGTCGGGGGTACGAGATTCCCTTCAGTCTTATTAATTCAAGGTGAAGATAGTATGATCCTCTTTCCTACCCCCACCCAATGGCTGGGTTTTGGATTGTAGTTGACTTACTGCTGGTACGATCCCCTTTTCTAACACCACATGGATGTTGTTCCTGGTGGCCTGGGTTTTGGATTGTAGTCGACTTGCTGATGGTACGATCTTCTTTCCTACCCCCACATGGATGTCTATACCCGGTGGCCGAATTTTGGATGGTAGTTTACACTGATGGTATGACCCTTATCTTACCCCTGCATGGATGTCGGTTACCACTGGCATGGGTTTTGGATGTAGTTGAATTTCCATGTATGTTCTGTCACACCCTAGCCACTACATATCTAGGGGAACATCCTATTAATCTTACCCACTTTTATGTTTTCTGGGATTGAGCTTCATAAATGTCATATGGCTCGGATCCTTATCCTGCCATGGTTTTCTCCTCCATTTTTCCATCCATATATGTGACATCTTTCCACAGTGGGCAAAGAGTATATCTGGTTCAGAAGTGATGCAGTCTTCCACATCAGATCTTCAATTCTGAAGATCTTCTCTTGGGGAGTGTCCTTGTGGGATGAGGTAATGCACCATATCAGAAGTTATAATTTTCCTACACTGAAAATGTATTTCCAATAGGTACTTACCACCTCTCACACTTCCCACTCTTCCTCCCCACTGAAATCTAGTGATCCATTTTCTGCCAAAACTCAAAGCGATAGTTTGGTAGAATTGAATAGAGGGAGTCACAAGCGTCAAGAGAGTATGTCGCCCTCTTTTTGGTGGAGGGTTGTTGCATGATGATTTGCATGAGAGACATGTTGAAATCAGTTGATTCCAAATGAGTAGGAGATTCAAGGCTTTTTTTGCATATAGAGGGCAACACTGAACAAGAATAGCTATTTATGTAAGCAGAGGAAATTACCTATTGGAAATACATTTTCAGTATAGGAAAATTATAACTTTAACAGTGTTCAGATTTAATCACATTTTGATTTGTTGTGTTTACTGTCTTCATTTGTAGAACCTCAACCTTATAAGTTAAGTGAATCTAATGCCAAAAATGCAGTTTCACTGAGAGAGAAAACTAAAGATCAGGTAAAACAATTCAATTAGAAAATAACATTTATGTATAGTTTGTCTATTATCAGAAAAAATTCAACATATTTAAACTCTTTATACTTTAAATGAAAGTCTGTGAAATTTTACAAGGCATTCATTATGACAAACTTTTATCTAGTCGTTCTTGAATTTAAGGTTTGTGACTTTAAAATATTTTTCAAATTTGAATTAATGGTGTATGTATGTCATTGTGTTATACCCTGTAAATATTTTATTGTTATAATTTTCTCTGGAGGTAATTTGGAAATCTCATGTGGATCGAGTTATGCAAAAAAAAATTTAATCAGCTGATTACACATTCACATGATACTGAATATTTAGAAAATACTATATGTACATTACAATTTATGATTTTATATTTCCAAAATGGTAATACATTGTGTGGACAAAAGAGAATGATATTAGTATGAATTTTTTCACTTTTCAAGTTTTTCTTTTGAGAGAAAGATATCTTTTCCATATCTATAGCAAAAAGATGAAATCACTATTAAAGCTATTCCTGTACCTAAGAGCACCTATCAGTCCCCGTCCATCAGTGTCAAAATTAGCCAGCAAAAATTGAAAAATAAAGAAAAAGGGATGGTAAGGTTTGGTATTTTTCAGGTGTGTGTGAGAGGATAAATAAATTTTATTTAATTAAATTATATGTACATTTATATTTAATTTATTCCTTTTGTTCCCTGGGCTAGCTGTGAGGGTTTTTTAAAATTAGAGTTATATCAGGTTCTCCAAGTAATTTTTGGTTAAAGCCTGATTCAAAAGTCAGAAAAGAAAAGTTTTAATGTATGTACATACAATTCATTTTTAGCATGTCAACTAACAGTTGACTAATTATATAAGGCTATTTTATGGCTACACCATGGACATGTAAATTTATAGATGACTTAACGGTGATACATTTAGTAAACACTGTCTTTGAATTTAAGAAAGTTGTTTAAGTGAAATGTGGGCTTTTATTCTTTTTCCTTCAAAATTTACTTACCTCCTTTCACACTGTAGCTTTATCTCAATGAAAGTTTCTCTTCCCATCTAAGCATTGGTATGAATCTTACCTTGCTTGCTCCAGCCTTTATACCCCACTATATTACCCATAGAGATTTAAGTCTTGTGATTCTCTCCACCTATGTCAGTGCACCCCCTATACCAGATCCGTATATAAGCTCCCCGTTACTATTTCCTCTTCACTTTTTCTCAACAGCAGAACATTATGACAGTCTCATGTGCTTCTGTAGGTTTCTCTTACGTGTTGTATAACTTCAGTTATACATATGCTGTAGATGATTTTTTTAGACCCGTATTATTGGGTTTTGAGTTTATTGTCTATTTACTTTAGATTCAATAAAATAAGAAAATTCTGAGATGTTTTGAATATGAATTCTCACATCCACCTCTCTGATATGGAGTCTCCTAGTGCTCCTAATTTGCCACCTCTGGAGTCTAGCATTGCCCGAGTATGGGATCGGAGGCCCCCTTTCTGCAGAATACGTCCAGTCCCTCCTAGGTAGAGAGGTGGAATTTGTCATGAGGTCTGATATTTTTTCTTCTGTAGGCTCAGAGCTGAGACTGTGGGGGGATCAGGAGCAGACTGGTGAGAATTTTAACTCTATTTTTCTACCTCCTTCCTTTGCTCAGACAGACATCCTTAGAGAGACATCCCGCCTCCTGCATCGTGTTTTTGTAAGTAATACATCAAGTTTGTTATGCCTTGAGATTTCTCCTGTGGCTTATGACTCTTCTCTTTCTTTGTAGGAGAAAAGTCATTTGGCTGGTTACGTTATCTTTCCAACTCCATCAGACATTGCTTTGCCTGCTTGGAGAGTTGTGAATCAATTGAGAGAGGCTGCTGCCATACCTTGTTCTCCCTGTTTATCAGATCAGCATCCCTTAGCTTTCCATTGCTTGGAGGACCCATATTTAGATTCTCAGAGGTTGGATCTTCTTCTCCCTCTTTGGGATCCTAGGCCTGATGCTTCTATATGTCTTAAACTCACTCAGTTTTCCAGGATCAGACTGTCCCTTACAACAGTTTTGCATTATTTATCTTCTTTTCAACTGTTGTCTGAGGCCTTTCACAGGTGTGCTGCTCCAGTTTCAGAGGATCTTAATCACTTATTGTCTTTTACTTTAGTAAGGTTATCAGCTTCTACTCTCTCCTTGGTTTCTTAGTTGGTTTGCTGCTGGGATCTTTTGGAGAGAGATGTCTTACTTGAGGGTATTCAACTTCCTTTTTTGGCCCTTAGAGGTCTCAGAGAAGCTCCTTTTCTCAGACATTCGATTTTTGCAGGTATTCCAGATTATATGGATGTGGCCCATTTCTACTTTTTTATTTAGACACTGGCCTTTGACCTTTCCCAGTTTTCTAACCAATGGTTTACTGCATTCCTCGTTCCAATTTCCAGATCTCCTGCATTGGCTCCACATTCTGTCAGAACAAAATTGAGATTCTGCCCTTATCAGCAGGCACCCTACACACATATGGATTGCCAACAGTGGCATAGGTGACTACCATATAGGATCCATCTCTGTAGGGGCTTGACTCAGATGGTTCAGGTCTGTATGGGAGACCTTTGCCTTCAATCAGTGGATCATTCAGTTTCTTACCAGAGGGTTGGACTTTCATTTCATATCTCCTCCTCCATTATCTACCATAATGGTTGTTTTTCCCCTCCCCAAGAGTCTTTTACATCCAGTTGTTGAGCGTAAGCCATCTAGGATCTTCTGCTCAAAGAGACCATTTTTATTCCTGTTTGTTTGTAGTAATGAAGAAGATGGGCGATTGGCAACCATGGAGTGATTTCTTTCCCACCACTGGCACTTTGCACCCAGTCTATGGGTGACAAAGATTGATGTCACCATTGCCAACCTTCATATTTCAATTATGGAGTCTTGTTTTGGTATCTCTGATTTGTGCATGAGAGACACGTTTTTCAGTTTTGTGCTCTACCATTTGACCTCACATCTGTCCCATACGTCTTTTGCCAGATGGTCGGATCCTTTTCATGTCATCTTCAATCAATGGGCATTCACACTCACCATCATATGGACAACTGGATCCTTCTCACTCCTTCCTGCCACTTGGCAGAGCTTCACCCCCCAAGTTATTTTATCCAAAGCTTCAAAAGCTGGGTTTCTCATCCAAATGGAGAAGTCTGTTCTTATTCCCACATTGTACCTCTTCAATTTAGGGGTATTTTTCAATTCATGTCACAGTCGGGCCATACATTCTCTTCTATGCCTTCAGGTCATGGAATGAGCCATTCTTCTAATACCATCATCTCCTCCACTGGCACATGTTATTTGTTCTCTTTTGGGGTTACGTGCATCATTGTAATCACTCATCCCTTTGGGTCAGTCCCACATGGATTCCCTTCAGTAGTCATTACAGGACCATTGGAACATTTGCAAGGATGTGCTGGATTGTCCGGTGACCCTATTGGCTTCAAGACCACTCCATCTTGATTGGTGGTTGTGCAGAAACAACAGAAAAGTAGGTGTCCCTCTCCCACCCCCACGTCCTGAGATACATCTTTTCACGGATGCTTCTCTCCAGGAATGAGGAGTTTGTGTAGGGGATATAGAATTCAAAAGCCTCTGGAAAAAAGAGGAATCTTCTCTCCACATCACTCTTTTAGAGTTTCTAGCAGTTTAATGAGTTATGTCTCAGGCTCTTGAATTGTTGTGAGGGTAGGTGGTAATGTTTCCCTTGGATAATTACACAGTGATCTCCTACATTTCCAAGCAAGAGGGCACTCATTCCAGATCTCTTTGTTTTCAAATATTAGATCTTTTCTTTTGGGCCCACAATCATCAGATTGTTCTCCTTGCTTGTCATGTTCCAGGTTATGAATTTAGTGACCAATCAGTTATCTCATCCCAACAGAGTTCTTCCCACAGAATGGATGCTTCATCCACAAATTTTTCGTTGGGTCTGCTCTCATCTCGGGTTGCCTCAGTTCCTTGCTTTTGCCTCTCATGGGAATGCCCAGTTCCCATCCTTCTGATATCCTGTCCCTCATCTTCTGACTTTGGGCACAGATTCTCTCAACCAGGATGGGAGAGGTTTTCATTTGAGATTCATTTTCACAGGACTCTTTACCATTCCACTTATTTTCCATTGTATTCCGATAGGTCTTTTCTTCCCAAAGTTTGTCCACATTGGTGTTGCTTGCCTACTCTTTGTAATTCTGGTGGCTTGACATGCAACATTCTGTTACTTTCAGGTTGAGTTCCAATAATATCACACTAAACAAGGCCAAACAATACAGCCATCCTCATGCCCTAGCCAGTACACCTTGGATCTTGATTTGGACCCATAGCCCTATAATTCCAAGGATGAGATATGGGACCTTTTCTGCTTGGTTGGGGTCTGGATGAATTCATGTTCTTCTAATGACATTAGGATTTTGCCTTTGTGACCAGTTAGCCTTTATTACCGGGCAAAGAGCATACCTGTTCCAGAAGTAGTGCAAACCCCACTTATGTGCTATAACTATATCACATTTTCCCACACCTCTTTTCTACGAAGACATTTTCTGTGTGGACTTTGCCCTCACCAACCCCTCTATCTTGTCAATGTGGGATTCTAGCTAAAGTCTGATTAGAGGTAAGTGTGTTTTGGAAGTTAACATTTTCCTATGCTGAAAATGTATTTTCGATAATACTCACTTTCTCTCACACTCTCCTGCTCTTCCTCCCCATGAAATGGCTGGTTTCGGGTCTGATAATTTGGACCATCTCAAAAAGTGAATAGGAAGTGATAACAGGGAGCCTATATATGGATCTGGTATAGGGGTGCATTGACATAGATGTAGGGAATCATAAGATTTAAATTGCTATGGGCAATATAGTGGGATATAGAGGCTGGAGCAAGCGAGGTAAGGTGCATACGAATGCTTAGATGGGAAGAGAAGAGAAACTTTTGTTGGGATAAAGCTAAAGTGTGAAAGAAGGTAAGTATTACCAGAAATACATTTTTGGAATAGGAAAATGTTAACTGATCTGTAGGTAATCCTTAAGATATTCCATAATGATAACCAACTGGTATAATTTCAGATATCAATCCTTCTTTTTTTAATTTCCAAAAGATATTTTTGTAAATTTCTTTCTCTCACTCTCAAAGCTGTAGTATTAGATTCCAATATCCCAAATTTGGTATTATCATTAAAAATGGTTAAAGTTTTTTTATATTATCATTATTATTTATAATTACTATACTATCACCTTTTTTAAATTTAACAATTAATAAATATGCTTTAGTCATCAATATTATTTATTTGGAAATATTCTAACTATATCACAATAAAGGATACTGTATCATTGATTTGATCATGTGGAGTGTTTCATATTTGATTCAACATTTTATTCAAAGTTTCAATATAAATTTAGGCTTTACTTGAAAAGGCTACTACTGAAATGCCCAGATGTGCAGAAATAATGAAACCTGTGTATTGTCCACCAGCTGAGAATCTAGAAAAGGTGGAAAAAGGGAAGAAGTTTGCATGGAATCCTGTTCCAAAAGAAGTGAGTTATTTTCTCTCAAATAAAAAATATTTCATGAGTTTCTAAAAAATCTAACTAGTTGTTATATCTATTTCAACAACAAAAAATTAAATTTTACATCACCAAGTGTTTACTCTTGATTCCTTTAATTGTTTTATTAATATAGATTTACAATGTATGACTTGACTTAATCCTGTAGACTCCCAGTGGAGCATAGGGCCGCAACAACACCTTGCCAACGGACTCTGTTCTGGGCTGCTCTCCTCAGCTGGGTCCACGCCATTCCGGCGGCCTTCGCTTCACTCCCGACCGATCTCCTCCGCGTCTGTTTTGGCCTCACAGCTTTTTTTTTCCCTTGTGGGTTCCAGTCCAAGGCCTGCCTTGTAACGTTGTCAACTGGTTTTCGCAGTGTGTGTCCGATCCAGCCCCATTTTCTTTTCCTGATGTCTTGGCTGACTGGGTTCTAGTTGATCCTTTTCCATAGCTCTGTGTTTGAGATCTTCTCTGGCCACCTGATGTTTAGGTGGGCGCTCTTGTTTGTTGTTCAGCCACATCACCTCCGTCTTTCTGGTGTTGATCTTCAGGCCGGTCTTTCCTGCCTCCTCAGCAAGCCAGGTGAGCTTGGACTGTGCATGCTGTTGCTTGTGGGACAGAAGACTGACGTCGACCACAAAATCCGGGTCCTCCAGCTGTTTGGTGAGGGTCCACTGGACGCCT